AGTTTTAGCTCTACGAGTCCGTCCGTTGAATCCGTAATTTTTTACGGTTCGGGTTATCGACTCGGCATCAAGCTGTTTATCAGCCTCGTTCCTTTGTGAACACATGCATCTCTCGTGCACCTGTCGTTGCTCGTTAGTCAGTCACTTATAGCTCAGAACTTCAAGTACGGACAACTTGTGTCTTTACGGATTACAGTCATTAGAAGTTCTTGTCCTTTTTGATAAATAAGACCATGCCAACATGCCGATCGCGTATAACGTATCTAAAGTTTGGTGCAGGTGTTTATTGTACGTATATGTGAGCTCATTAACAACCGCGTCCTTCGAATCTGTAGGGAAGTAACCCAGTTGATAGACAAAGAGAGATTTATTGACAAATTCCCAAACTGTGACAGGAGTCGCGTACTTTTCTGAAAATCCACGCAGATCTATGACAGTGTCAAAAATTACCTGATAAAGTGCTGGATGTATTAAAAAATTATCATCATGACTTTTGTCAGCATAAATTCACTGAATTTTTGTTTTTCGTTCAAGCAATTGGCCCCAAATGACAACTTTTCATAATGGCAGGTGTTAAAAAACCTTTTGATGGCGTATAATATTAATCAAAAGAATTACAATAAAGCTGTTCTTCGTTATGGTCTATGTCAAAGTTGCACTTGCAAAATTTCTCTGACACTTACTAAAATACATTGACAATCTTATACTTAACAACAATATATGTTTGATAAGGAAAATCTGCTGGAAATAATTTTCTGCTGCGCTCCTCTTAAGCGGGTTAGCTACGCTTTCCCTTAACGGATGTAATTGAATTTAATCTACTGCGAGAATTTTAATAAGGCTAGTAATATTATAGCAAATAGGAAATTTTTAGCAAATAGGAAAAAAAAAGTTTACTCAACCCCCTCGCAGGGAAAATTAGGGATAACCTAATTTTCAATTCATTCCTATTCGATACAACGCCGCTGTACTCTTAGCCCTTGTTCACACTTCTTTTAGTTGTCAAATGCCGGTTTGATTAGATGAGAATTGCCCAAAGTAAGCTTCTTGCCACGCGCAACAACAATCTCATTTGAAAGTGAGCTTCAAGTATCTGTTTTGTTTACTCTTTTCCTATTGCTTAAACTTCTAAGTCCAGTTGGCTCACTGTGCCGCCAGCTCTTTAATCGTCAATCTGTTGTTCTCCTGTCCTAACGTCGGATTGCGAAAAACAAGTTCGCCTAGAGCCTATAACTTTTCTGATTACATCATCTGGCTGTCTTGGTTGTACTGGCGAAAAGTATTTCGACGGACGCCAAACGCCCCCGTGTGCGTTCGCAGGGCCACGGTCTACAACATGATAGTAATATAAAAGCAGAGATTGTCCATGGGCACCTGTCGCCAACCGTTGGTTGGTCAACTTTAAAATCCGGCGCCTTATCGTTCGAACGTCGTCCACGAAGACGAAAGTCACCTAAAGAAAAGAATGAAGATAAACGAGCTGTCTAAGTCGGTCGGCTGAAAATAGCAGGATATCAAATGAGACAACGGGACGTTTAAGAGCCATACAATGGCAGTAATTTGAACAACACGAAGCCTCTCTGGATTCTAAAACCGCAGCCCATAGCTTCGCAGTCTTTACAAACTCATTTTTATTTATTTTTTTTTTTATATATCACTGTAAATCCCTCCATCATCCTAGGCGTTCATGCTTCGTGGCGATATCTTTTATCGATAACTGTCTGTATATTCGAAAAATGAAATGTACGCATAGATACCCTGTACGTTCTCTTGCAAAGACCAAAGCCGCGGCAAGCAACTTTCGAAAGAAGGCTGTTCCTGCTTCTGTGGACTTGCAAACATTGTCTTCTGGCTGGCTAGTAGTATCATAATAATTAGGTGAATGTTCAGGATTACATGTGTGCGATAATAGGTATAAACTGTTCAAACATTGGTCGAGCATCAGTTAGAAATCGACCAAATAAATGATGTCATGATAAACAAAATCGATGCACTGACATTTTTCCAGGCAGCTGCATAGCCATACCGTATTCAGTGCAGTTACGGGTCTATACTAGTTTACTACAGTGATCATTATCTGCCATACTTTTTCCCCAAAATCGGAATAATCTCGAAAATAATTGCAGACAGTTTTACTGTGTCTTGTTTATTTTTATTCTAGGTTAGAGTAATGAGTGCTGATGTACGCATGACCGTACCGGCTCGCAGCAGAGTACCAACCAGTGCTACTCAATATTCTAGCCAGCTGAAACAGAACATATCCTGAAATGCGAGCTCCGCGTATCTAAAAAACTATATGACCTGACTTATCTGGATGAGCTCCTCTTACACTGTTATTGGATCAGCATCAATACCTCCGTTAATGGAAGATTCTTCAAAACTGGTATAACTTCGAATAGGTGTAGTCATACGTAGCAAGCGAATAAACACGCTTCTATTAACAATTCAAATCATTTGATATTTTACTGAGTCTGAATTAGAGTCAATGCTTGCGATGCTTGTCATATGCCACAGAGATACTTTTGTCAGACGCTGCGACTGAGCTTCGGATCTATGTCCCAGTGTGAGTCAATTCTCGTGTTTGTGTAGAAAATAATTGCTATTGATATTCATTAGGAACTCCATCTAAACTTCACTTCACGCAAAAATCTTTCCAGCATTTTCTCTCGTAGAGAGACATCATCTATTTTTAACAAGTGTGGTCCTTGATTCCGTGCAGAAGTAATAAAACAACGGAAGTTTCATATAGCATAATGTATAATACAAATGCTTATTCTTAGCGTATAACGTCCTTGGTAACCAGTAGCCCGATGGAGAATTCAGATTTGTTATATGTGCTATGTTTTTATTGAGGTCAAGTGTCTATAAAAAATCATACTTTCGTTTCTTGCTGCCCTCAGTCGTTTCAAGACTTAGTGTTCTACAACGCAGCTCGTCAAACGGCTTGCGGCCTTCGGCTGCATTATTTCACGTCACGGGACCTCGTGGTAGTAGTCAAAAGCTTCACATATACAGGTGATCAGCACAATATTCCAATATCAAAAAGGTATATGGAACCACTGAAAACACTTTGTGACATATGGGTAATATAGGTTATGTTGAATTCACAAAACGAATTTAAGGCACTTGCCGGATGTTTTAAACACGGTGCCAGGGGGCAGCGAACGGCATAATATGTACCAGTTTCCCCCACATATAAAACACCCGCATGTATCTTTAAGCTCGTGAAAATCCGGTGTTCTGCCGAGTCTGTCGTGCAACCCACGCAAAGCGAGCATCAATATGTCTGCTTAACCGTCCCTTTTTACTTGTCGTCCATCATCGCACCTGAAACAAACAAATCTCCCATCGATCTCCGCGATCCAGTTCCTAAGATTGATGTTCAATGCTTCCGCTTTTGGGAGCTCAAAGCGGTGACGTGGGTTCTCACAGAGAAGTGACTAGTCGGCTAGGAGATACGAAAAACTATTTCCAGTCAATATGTATACTTCCAGTGCTGTTTTGCGGAAGAAAGCTTTAAAGCGACTTAATTGTTAAAGGTTTTCCAGTCCGAGGTCTTCCCAAATGACGCTTATCCCATACGTTGTGTCCCAAGTACGGAAACCGGTTCGTGTAAACAAGAGGCGGCCAGGTGGTATACAGGTTATCAGTCACTGTGATGCCCCCTCCCCCCCCCCCCTCTATGCTTTATCGTCTTTGTTTTAGTCACGTTTACGGTCAGTCTCAACTCTGTCACTATCGCGGAGACCCGCATTAGAGTCTGCTACGCTTGGAATATTTTTGTGCTCATACAAAACTAGTTCCTTTACATACAAAATGACTTTCACTAATTCCCTCGGCTCTCGAATTTAAGCTTTTCAGCAGGATAGGGAATAAGAAATAGAAATCTCGATGCAAAGCCCCAGCAATTCTTTTATCGATCGCCTTAATGTATTATTGTATAATGAGATAGAAATAGATGATGTAGCAAAAATACTTTCGAAATCATAATATCCTATATCAACTGGATTACCAGACTTACTCCACAAGCCAACGATATTGAAGAGGACTGTAATTCTTTCATACTGGAATTAGCATCCCATGGTCATTCTTGGTCTTTCAGATTTTCTACAACTTTCTTAAAAATTATGTCCTATAGAATTTCGTAAAAAATAATTAACAGACGAACTGATCGTTTATTTTCGGGGTCAGATTTGTTTTCGAAGCTTTGGCACGGGGATATTCCTGATTCTTTGTATGCGGCCGTTAAACGGTTATAGATGTTGAAGATCTCTTAGATACAATACTTAATGGATGTCCTACACCGATCGCTGTCCTCTGTATGAGTCCAAGCTGTGCTGTATAATAAGAATAACAATCGTATAGGGTCGCAGCATTTGGCTAGCCCTTTAAAGCATCTTTATTATTACGGTTCATCCGAATACCAGACGTATAATGAAATAAGCGGACTTTGCACTAGGATTTAGGGACACTGCCCCAGGAGAGGAGACTGCCTAACATATTTACATAGCAGAAAAGGGAAAAGACGTACGGTTTAGGGTTTGCGATCGCACTGTACATGGGCTGCCCAACTATAAGCAGCCATTTACCCTCTTAGGTTTGATCTTCAACAGAGAACTAGATCCAATTTTATTATTTGTAGGTAACTGATGCAGAGGAAGCTTACCAATTGAATTTTATAGCTCGAACAGAAATTTAGCTATAATTATGTACATATATATCTGAGTGCTTTCGTTTCGTTGTTAGCTTCATTATTGATCTGCTTATTCTAGGTTAAAAAATCCGAAGAGAACCGAAAAGAAGGGATGTTTATACAAAAGTCAAAGCTGTCTGTACTTTTTTTTTTTACCATATTTGTCTCCACAAACAAAAAAAATACGAATTTAGGCACTAATTTTAAACATGTTAAGTTAAATCTGAAGCTAAAGGGAAACAAATATTTTGGGCAAAAATCCATAATCAATCTCTTTAGTTGCTTGTGCCCTAAAATTTTGTACGATACCCTGTAAGTGTCGCTGAGCCAATGGTCCGAAAAAAGTAACGCATTAGTATACAGGTCAAAGGCTACGTTAATGTGGTCGATAACTCCTGTGCTGATGAAGTCACTGGCATGGATGAAATTGATTACTGGTCTTCAACGACAGACCCACGATAGGGAGACCGAAGTTTCATGTTCATCAGTCTTGTTGCTTTCGACAGAGATCTATCTGTACGCCGTTGCTCTTAAATCAGGCTTAGAGTTATCTTCCTTTTTCAATCCCACGTTGGCTGCAAAAAATAATCAGTACTTGCTACCGTCTTTTGACAAAAATATGTATATATACATGAACTGATCCCCAGGTTAGCCTGTTATGCCCGAATCAACATGATCATTGCATATTTTCCGCCTTAACAAGAGATGTAACAGGAAAGCTGTGAGAGCTTAAAGGTTAACGAGTTGTAGCCCGGACATAAACCGCAATTTGAACTAGAAAAGTCACAACGGAAACAGCGTGGTATTTCTCAAATAACTACAACTATTTCCAAAGTATACCTATTCGGAATTCATGAGGTATATTTTCTAGAACCCACTAAAGCGTTCCATGTTTCGTTATCAACATCAAATTGATTCCTTGATGCCATCAAAAGACGCAGATAACTCTAACATTCGTTAGCTCGTGCAGTCTGCAGACAAACAGGAATTTTTCTCTTGTAGGTCCCATTTTACGCATCAAACTTCAATAACTTTTCCTGCATCGCCTCGATTCGATCGCCCTGTCTTCTAATCAACAAGTTGACAGAGAATCGTCACACTTCAGACAGCCCCACGAATGACGTGGACCGAAGTTGAAATGATTACAGTCTGAGTTACTTCCTCAGGCGTTAAGCGATAGTTTTGTTCTGCTACAGTCATCGAAAATGATAGCCTTCGTATTCTTTATGGCAGTCAATTTTCATCAAGCTTTAACCAAATCGAAATGGAGAGAATTGCGGATGAATGATATTGAGACGTATTAATTAGGTTGTTCCGAACTGCTTCCGTTCTGTCTAGATCGGGTCATTATTCTACTATATAATAGACAATAACTTCTATGGAGTTATGCGTGAAGGATCGACTGTTCCATGATCTCTCCTCAATGAAATCTTTCATTTATGACCCATCATCATTTGCCATGAATCATAGAATTAGGAATAATGTGTACAATGCTATGTTTAAAGGTGCATATATTTAGCAAACTTTAGTTAATTATTTACTGCGGCCCACTGTATCCACAACGTACGCTACTGCGCTATCCAACTCTGATCACCATGAGTCGGAGCGGTATACAAATAATTTTACTGAAAAAAACAACCTAAAAAAAACGCTATTTCTGCACTTCACGCAATAGTTTTCGTAACTAATTGAAGATTGCCAAAAATAGCCAGAGTAACGCTGGTTACCTATGACAGTTGTCGTAGGTTTGACTGTCATCTTACGTTCAATACGTGAACTTGAATAATGATATGGGACCAATTAAACATAACGCCCTGTAGGCAAAAGTACAACAGCAACCGAGAGTGGCCAAAATGAATTCTGGTCGACAGGAACGTTGTCCTTGTTTGAGGATCGAGATCACGCTTGATATAACATCCACGCAAGAACTTCAATTGAAATACTACGGTCGCGTGAGGTACCCACGTATACGTTGCTACGCTTGAAGCTCAAGTGAAGTTCGTTTCTGGACAAGCGAACGGTTGACTGCGTCGAGTTCAAAACTACGTTTGCGCTTGTCCCTGTCCGCACCCCGTTTTTCAAGCCGCATGTGCAGACTTAGCGTAGATGACAATAAGAAGTAACCACCAGCAATTCATTGTAGCTTCGCCATAATGCTTATTACGGTAATTTTGTAGTTTTGGCTGCACCTCTCTTAGCTCCTTTCCTTGGCATGTTCAACCCATGAAATATGTTGCGGGCAACCTTAGGCAAAATGCAGAGGACCAAAAGGATATCATAGACTACTATATTTTGATAGAAAGCATTGTATACTTGTGTATCAGTAATACTTCGGCAAAGCTTCCGAATCGGGCATGCGTCCGCTAACTCCTTTCTTGGACCGCAACGGCTTATCAGATCCTGCTGCGTGTGTTAATCCTTTTTGATGTTATATACAGAAACTTTAAACACAAATAATTCAAGATTTATATCTTCTTCAAATGACCACATTTATTTCCCTTCCAGTAGTGGGTACAAATGTCAGTCAAACTATTTTATGAATACAAAATTTCGTAATGCCAAGGTAGGATTAGTCAAGGTCAAGTGAGTTGGAAAGCTAATCTAAATAAAGGTGGATATTGGGTCTACTTTAAATCTGCAAACTGTTAGAAATCTAACTAATAAGTGTCAGCCTTAAAACCTAAAAACGACTTATCCGATAACGCGAAATTTAGTGCAGAACGTCCTTTGTCATCTGCGTTCTTGGCTTAGGCCGTTACCTAAAAAGCGGCAGGCATACACACTTCCATAAAACCAACTAGTTTACAACTATTGATAAACTATCAATTAATAACGATGGTTGTACATTTGTTGCATTATAGTCCCTCAAATTACGCATGCTAGCCTTACCTTTTTAGGCCATCCAATTGCAAAACATAATGTAGCGTGCATACTTGAAGATCAGCGACAGCCGAATTATCGGATCTGCATTTATATTCACTGTAGTCCAGGACAAGTTCACAACACCAGCGCCCTTCTTGAGGACGCACACATATTGTTTACTTCCCTAAAATGGGAAGAAATTTTTGTCATATCTTCTATATAACGGCTACAAACAATCCCAATATGACGGATAAATCTTAAAGATGCTTCTGGCTGATGGTCCTACAATCAATCACTAATTTTAAGCACCATTTAAATCAAAAGTATATTTCAAGTTGATTTATATCAACAGCCTTATTTCTGTGCAGGTCTACACTTTGCTCCACTTTTATTTAACATAATATAAACCCTGCGTCTCGCGGTCAACACGATTTTAAGGTTTAGTAAATTAAAATGTATTCCTGTCGTTCTTATTTGCATTTACTTGACCTGTTTTAAACTGGTTATCGTTTGCCAAAAGCACTGAGCCTTTCTTCCATCACGTTGTTTGTTGTCCCAGCCAGATCTGCCTGCGGTAGAGGCAACGTGAGAAAAAAGGACATTCGTACATCAAGCAATTGTAATAAACAACACTTATTTTCCATAAAAAAATTTGATCCGTTTGTCATCTTATACGGTAATAAGAGCTCAGATCTTGTTGAATTCTTGGACATCTTCACCGTCAAAGGCTGCTTATAATACTGATGCATTAGATGACGCGTAGCTCATGCATTTAATCAAACACTACCCACTCGTGTTGGCCCTAGTCACACAGACAGGACCCTGTACTGTACGGTTGCTGCAGCCTGTAGATAAACTGCAGGTAGCTGACAGGTCGCATCGCTCGTTCGATACCATTATACAAGTTCATCAATGTGACAGTTGTCAGCTATGAGTAAGCCACGATTGGAAAAAGAGCCTATTTTTTTAACGTAACCTGTCATTGAATTTGAAAGGATGCGAAAAGAAATAATTGGTACATTCTGTACGACCTTAGTTGGGACCATCTTGACAAAAACAATTTCGATATCACAAGCGGATGACAAGGCCTAGCTAGCTAGCTAGCAGTTTCCCTGATGTCCGAGTTCCCATGATCTGCTCACACCCAACGAGAACAGATGCTGTTATATGCGTTCTAAAGATATCTACTGGTAATACTTGTAGAAATCGTAGCAGCAGAAGTTACAGAGCGCTTCGGCAAAAGGCTTATCAAAGACAATTGGGGAGAAGCTGGGCTTCGAGAAAGAACAGGTGGTGCCAGCGCCTCCGAGCATCGCCTGCTATGACGTGGATCGACAAAGCCAGGCAACGAGGCGCCGAGATTCGCGCCGACACTCGAAAATCCAATAAGGAGACTTCGTCCTTTTTCTTCGGTCTAACACATGAGGCTGCGAAGCCTGCTTCCCCTCGTTGGGGAAAAAGCAAAAAAGCCGTAACACAAAGATGGTGGTGGTGGGGAAAAAGAAGACAGCTGGAACAGAATACTGTGATCGAAGTAAGTCTGAATTGCCTCGTAAGCACAAAGGCGATTATAGGGATCACACGATATACGCACCCGAAAAAGGTTAGAGTAGTTCAAAAGACATGTTTTTGTTTTCCTTCTTGTAACTGCTCGCCCAAATATGCGGTTAAATTATTGCCTAAGGATACATGTTGGTAATTAAATTGATATATTAAACGAGTTTCACGTACACTTCGGCGACGGATCAACCGAATATGGAACAGTATCTCTCCGGTATATAGTATGTAATAAATATATACATATATATAGGATGTCGAAAAAATATTGTTTTATGATATGATGATCTTACCGTTCTGTCTATGCAAGGTGTACTTTGTTGGACATATTGAGTGGATCAACAATAACCTTCGAGGACAAAACATTATTCTTGAAAATATGAAGATGTAGTAGAGGTAGACAGACAAATCGTAAGTAGTTTTAGGCAGCTCCATTTATGCGACTCGCAATTAATTAAAGGTAAATTTGAAACGGATGGAACCCTTAGCATGCTCATCGACAACGTTCCGGACGACCAGGAACATCGATGAACTTCATCAGCTAAGAAAAATAGGGGAAAGTTACAGTGAAATACCCCAGAAATCTGTAAAACGATCAGATCCTGAATTTAGCGTTAGCAGTTCAAGTACGCATTTAGGGAAGCTGTAAATGAAAGCCTTACGTCCTAACAGAGGTACATACAGCACAAAACAATTTCGTCGATAATATTTAGGAAAAGAATTAACAAGGTGCACAAGTTTCGATCAAAATTATTGGTTTAAGTAAATAAAAAGGACGTTTAAATCAATAGCATAATTATTCGGCATCATTGCGCTTGGTGGGGTAACTTTAAATCTGCATGTTGAAGCATCATGTAGAAGTTATAGAGTGGTCCGGTACTTCAAGTAAAAAATTAATTGAAATTCGTTTCTTTTTTTTTATTTGATAGCGCAACTTACTCGAATTTAGTGCGGGACTCTATTTTAGCAAGCGCTCGGGAAGACTGGTAAAAAAGTGAATTTCTTTTTCTTTTTGTTTCCTCTTTATAGAGGTACCTTCATGGGACGAAGAGGTCATTTAGAATACTTTGCCCGTTATTACGCTAAAAAACCGATTACAAGTGAAGACTAAAAAGCTTCAATTGATCAGGAATATGGCACAATACCAAATCAAATATTCGCTGAGGTTAGCGAATGAATAGCCCACACCATTAGGAGTCTAATTAAAACAGCTGTCATTTTGAACATCGGTCCGAGTTTAAGTTAATGTGATTTTGTTTAAATTTTAATATAAGTTTTATGCAAATAAAAACTGAAGCTATAATCACACAAATTCTATAGTAATTTTCGGTATACCGTACATATAAGGATAATTTATCAGTTTTTACACACACACTGGTTCTTTAAGGTTATGTTGTGTGTTTCTTTACAGAACGATACTCATTTTGATTCAACATACTAGAGTCTAGTTTTCAGTTGAATCATTATAAATGGCGAAAGAAAATCTCAGTTGTATCTTGAATATATATATATATATATATATATATATATATATATATATATATATATATATATATAGTTAAAGTGAATCTTCTCGCAAATGATGTAGATTTCTCAACTAAAACTTAAAGGTTAAGAAATTGATACTATTGTAAGTTTTGAGGACTAGTCCTGAACGCCAGGCCCTTCGTTACATTCAAAGTAGCCCGGTACATACGGCTGGGGCTGGCTCATAATGATAACTATCAACAAACATTTCGTCTGAATTTCCTTGGCCGAATCATCCCTGTTGTCCTGGCAATTCGATTGCCCTGTTTAAACTATAAAAGGGTTCCTTTTCATTGACTAACCATTAATTCTCTTCATAGTTTATCATTTCGAGAGATTCATCAATACTAGATATCATACAATCGTTTAGCTATGCGTAACAGTCAGTCAAATTTCTTGTACCTCCTAGCTGTCATTCCTATGTGATTAAATAAAACATTATTTAGTGGGTGTCATCTGGTGGGCAATAGCCGTATATGGATCAAAAGCCCAAAGTTTGAAAGACCATTTCTGGTTGAAGTCGACTCGATAGCAACAACGTTGGATCGAAAATCGTTTACTGAAAGTTCGGTGAACTTACAAGCTCTAGTTTCACTCCAGATTTGATCTCGTCTCTCTCGATAACTCTACGGTAGTAATCATTACATCATAGCAGCGATATAGCCGTCTTCACGAAGGACATATGTTTTTTGCATGATCCTTGATTCATACATGATATTCATAATATCCAGCGCAATACACGAGACACCGATATCTATATATAATCTGTTTTACCTATTAACCTAACTCTTTGTCGACCTATCTTTTGGTATAATTCACAAACATCGGTGATTTTTTGTTGTCGAAAACAACATACTCTTTATTTAAATTGTCGAATTTCTCACAAATCATGGTTTTTGTTGCTGCGAGTTGAATTTCTGCACAGATACATACGATAAATTGAGGAGCTTTCCATAGATACCTATTTTCCCTGATCGTACTTATCCGCAAAAAATACTCTCTATGACAAATTTGCACATTAACTTGCAACGAACGGATTGGCAGCAGCTAACAGTCTGTAGGCGCATTCGGTTTGCACTCAGGGATTCGCCCAGGGTTTACATACCAATCAGTCAAGTTCAACGGAAATAATGCTAGTTTTTGCATTGTTCCCATTCTATGTGGGCACAAACAGGAGATAATATTTCTGCTATGTACATAAAAAAGAGAAATATGTTAAAATGTGCTCTGGGAATTTTAAGTTTCGGTGTAAGTTATGGCTATGAGGCCACATGAAGAATAATCACTTGTGTGCAAATCTTGTAAATGATATATTTACTGAGAGAAGAAAGCGTTCGTCCCGAGATGATCTGAAGAAAATATTACACTGATAGAATAACTAAATAACTTATATATCTTAAGATGAGACAGGCCCCTATTTGCTATTGATTGCGTGCTATACTTCCAGTTGTGACAATGCAATAACGACACAATAATGATCGTGCGGGACATTTTGCATAATCCTTTTTGTTATGACATTGTTTCTGCTAGCGTCATCAAAGCTGCACTTCCTCAAATAAATTAAAGTTTATTTTGTAATATTGTGTATGCTATACGACAAATGAAAAAAAAAGAAAAGTATTGCAACACGGCAAAAAAACATGTGCATTAGCCATACAGATGGCGTTATCTAGTGACTAACCTAAAAGTAACGATTTTTAAAATAACAAAATACCGATACGGATAGAATTTAGGCTGCCAAATAATGTTTCAGTGATGGCTGGCTACCGGTCAACGATTGACGGTTTCGCTGATCCTACGATTTGATCGAAAGTTTTAATGTTCATGCCGATCTAAGTATGGCCATATCTCGTCTAATTGAATTAGGTCAATGTCAAAAGGCATTTATCATCTGCCGGGAGTTGATCTTTGTTCAATTGTACAGATATCGACATATCCGTACATAGAACCCTGTGGTCTAGTGAACCAATTGAACGTTCTTCACAGATGCATCGTGCTCATTGAATTAGGCCAACGTGTATTCGAACCAGAATCGTGCATATTTCGTACATTCAATGAGAAACAATATTACGCTTGTTGTTAATTAAATTTCTCGAAAAAGCAATGGAACTTTTCGTTTACTACTTCACTTTTTTTTTTTTCCTTTTCTCATAGCCACGTGCTATACGAGAACCTATTTCCGAAAGCAGGTAGTATTATGGTGCGCCTACGTCATTTAGAAGGGATCAAAGACAGTGACTGTGTATGTGTATAGCGTACCTTTAATATTCGCATAGAACGATGAGCAACGGTCGTTTACGCATCGACTCGTCAACGATCAACACAAATGATAATTTCAAAAATTATAGAATATATTAAATATATTATACATATAATTATAGAGAGTTTAGGCACCACTAGCAGATGACAGGCTTGACTCCCGTTAGATGCACGGCCGAAGCATTGGCAGAAGTAGCGCACCACCTTGAACCTGCAGAACCGAAAACTGTAGACAGTGGGTGGCCAATGGCCATATGCAGGACCAACACACGTTCCGTATAGTAGACCATCCATATTCCCGTGCATGAAGATGGATACATGGGTACGTTGAGATGAACGGGTTCGATAAACGACCACATAGTCCCTACGGTGCCATTGGCTGAGTTTGCAAAAAAAACGTAGCAAAATGACCGGCATACCTATAGAGCGTTTAGTCTTAAACATCCTGTTTCAACATATCTTATTCGAAATGCTCGTGATCTTGAAAACAATTACTGATAGTAACTTATGTCACAGTAAAAACTTAAGAATTCTCGAAGAAAACTTTCCTTGTTATCTATTATTCGCGGAGATGTAAGTTCACCGATTCGATGACTTAAAAAGGTTCTCAAACGATCTCTTTAGATGAAGACAGCTTTGAAACCCACCAGGCCATCAACATTTCAATCCAAGATTGTTATGCTCCGAGAATTCTATTATTATGTAAGAAGATAATAATCTTCTTACAAAAAATACGTTAATGAGGATATTACAAGAACATTTCTAAACGTTACAACACAATAACTCAGTATGTCATTTTCACCTACCGTTTTTAACATTGTATTAGTGGACACAAATTATGTCACATTATCTACCAGCTTCAAAAACAAGCTACAAAGGAAGAGCTTGTTGAAATACACTGCAGCAATACAATGTGTCATATATGATCCGGTTTGCACACATACGTAGGTCGGCGCTGTGTGGCGAATTATTTCACTGCCAGCGGAAAAAATACAACCCCATGGAAAATATGGTTCTACCAGTTCTTCGCCAACTTCCTCGAGCGCGCTTTCTCAAAAAGTAAATTTGCGAAGTTTCAAATCTCAAAAGTTTACCAATACTCAGACGACCTTCTCTACGCAGAGCAGTATCCTAAAGGCTATAGTTTGAGGCTAAACCCAGAAAAGCTTTGTACTGAGTTTTTCATTGGCCGCTTTGTCCGGATCTGTGACGTCTTGCTGCAGATTTATGTTGTAAGCGTCGAAGCCAAGAGCGGCAAACATCCCACAAAAAGTGCGTATAGACGCAGGACAAAGGGCAGTCATTCATTCTTCCACAGCTAAGCGGCGCTCTAGCGGTTTCTACTTACGTTGAATAGAAGAATAGCATTTGTGCTGGCTCGGTGAAAAGATTTCTCTTTGTCTAGGGGTCGTATCCGGCCAAATCTATCTAGTTGCCTATAGAGAAACGTTTCAGACATTGCAATCGTGAGACCAGCCAATGTACAACACCATCGAACCAAAAAACGCCTGTTCTTTCAGATCGTACCGTCGTTACTCGCTCTATTAATAAATATGTGTCTAGTATTCGGTCACTGTGTCTGTAATTATGTGCGAGTCGAATACTGCACATCGACGTGTGCAGCTGTCGGTTGCCGGTTGATAAAATTATAATAATTATGTTGACTGTTTTGTCATGTAACTGTTGCCACTGACCCCGTGCATACGGTCGATCTGCTTGCTGACCCCGTGGTGATCTTTTCGTGCAGTATAAGCTTCGCAGGATAGAACTGCTAGAAATTTGCGTGTCTAATATGCCTTCATAGACATCCGTTCTCGTTACCGTTATAGCATAAAACACTTCGATTGAATACGTTTAACGTCATGAACATCGCGTGTACCGTACATGTGTGTAGCAAGACTACTATCACCAGGTCCGGAACAAGGTTGGACGGTTCTTTGTACTCGATAACGTTCATGCGTTCAAACTGGCAATATATATACTAACATGTGACAATTATACTTTTTATTAATTATCTGTAAACGTTACGTACAATCATATAATTGGGCAATTCGTATTATGATTTTACATAAATACACCGCAATTTCCTGTTTCTCCGATTGTCGGTGTTCTCAGTAGAGGAATATCAGTCGTCAATGTTTGGTATAACGACCACAATTAGGCCGAGACCTATCGTTTATCAGGTGACTGTCCTATAAAGCGCAATGGACATCAAACTGAAATTTTTGCATTTGCTTAATACTGTATTTATCTATACTTTTAACGAAAAAAAAAACCTAAAACTTCACAGGAATCGTCTCGTCATTGTGATTAGACGCCTACATCTATTAAAGATAACAATGTTTTGGCTTATGAAAATCACTTAGTGGCAAAGAAATTTTTAGGCGAGTACAGACATTGTTTATGGGCTCAATTTCCAGAGGACGCACTATCGTTACCTATAGCATCTTTTAATATTACCAAACTCTTCATGAGAAACCCATGTCAATCTCTAGGTAACCCTTTTTTTTCTAATAAAATCTATTGTTTATTTTTGCAGTTATCATAACACATTTGTATAATAGTACTTAGAAATTCTGAGTTTTTCCCAAGTAAGGCTTCGTGCCTATATGAGATCCATATGAATTGTTCTGTTTTACAAATGACTTTTTTCGTAGACGTTTTTTTTTTTACTGTGTCTATAGATCTGAGTAGAACAAGTCGAACATCTAAAGGGTACGAGGCGACTCTGTAGAAGCCACTCGGGTCCCAAAGGCACAGTATATATACACAAGCGCGTAATTGATACCTTTCGCAGCAATCTGAAGTGGGCCTTAGACGCACGGACGTGTTGGATTCAACGGGCGGCGCCATGTCACTCGTTCGGACCCAGCAGGACAGTGGAACAATGATGACTTGAATCTGTCTCGTAAAGAAACGGTTTTAATAATACAAGATTCAAAGATTTACTAAACATTTGTCGATGATAATAATTGCGTTTATTGAGAAGGGACGTTTTTCTATTTCTCCGGTCGTGTTTTAATTGGTCAATAACATTTGGGAAACATAGCTAAATACACCGGCCGGTTCAGTTTGTGCGAACGTTTGCGCAAGTTGAATTAAACGGCCGAGATTCAGCTTTATGCTTCCACGGCTACTCCTCGCGCCATTCATCGAGGACTCTATTCATGGAGTTCGGGAACAAGTTGTACAAGTCCTGCACTATCGATACATACATCAATGTCATCAGATATAAATCTTTCCTAGAAGATGTTCACACCGGATAAGCAAAATACCCACAAATAATAGCTGAAACATACAGTTACCTTCAATTATAGGTATCGCTGGTCCTTAATCCGAACGGAAGAAGGCTGGAATTCGTGGAACCCACTTTCATTTATTTTCCTGTCATCTGTTCAACATACACCAGAAAGGTGGCGTTCGTTGCGTTAGAAATCCAACGTACACAAAGCGGCGGTTCCTTCTCGTCTTGCGAGCGCATTAGAGCTCTTCTATACAGGCACTGTATATGCCTAACGTCATGGCACACTCGGAAATGTGGCAGCAGACATTTCTAGTTTTAGTTGCTTTATCGGTTCCTGTACATGTCCCTTTGACTATTTCGTCCACGCCGTAGTTGATAAGAATAATCGAGTTCGATAACGACAATGTTTAGCTCGGTTCTAAGCGACATATCACTTGTACGGTGAGAACTTTGAACTGCAAGCAGAATAGGACTACCTGTTTGAATTACCAGTATCTGGTAAAAGTGGTAGTAAAAGAAGTCAGAAACAAGGAACCAATACGCCCTAGAAATTGACATCAATATACTGAAGCGGCATATTTAAAACAACTGGCGATTTAAGCTATGATCAATGGGAAGCAGTCAGTAGATTGTAAGTAACATGCGATAACAACGTTGTTCTAATCGTAAAAAATAGTTGACTGCAAAGTGATTTAAGATTAAGAAGAATCTCTGAATAAGATAAGCCTGAATAAGATAAGCCCGTGTGCCATATCATTAGGGAGATGTTAACTCGTCAATATTATACATAGCGTAACGTACTGCAAATAGTATTCAACAATAATGCTACAACTCTTTGGCGTGTTTTCTACACGTCGCTTTGCGCTATGAACAGTTGTTACTTATACAAAATACGCAACAAGAGCCTACTAACTTAAACTTAGATGGGATTTCCTTAGCTTTAATTAGCTCCAGGTTTCGCCTAACGTGCCAAATGCATATTTATATATGTGGTTAGAGCAGAGCGGTTCAGTCGTCGTGCTGAAGAGCTAGGACTACTGACGAACATGACCGTAAATTGTTACAAAGAGTTGCCTGCGGGCATTTGTGTCTCATTTCTCTGCTTAGGCACAGCGCGTTGCCTGTGCACTGTGGCCAAGTACCGTTGTGCGCCGTATGACCAGAGGCCGAGGCGTAGCCCGTTTTGGGGCTATGCCTAATAGGTAGGAGCGAGACAAATGCACGTTCGTGCTTGCATTTGACAGCGTACATATCTATCGATAGGGACGATGACACAGAAGGCAGGTAAATGTGGTTCAGAGTTGCAAGCTAGAGACTGCGGAACACATCGAGTACAACAAAAGATAGTAACATCTAACGAAAGGACTCGATCGAACTGCGCCTAGGGACAAAGCTTAATTGGTAACGGATTGAAAAAGGGGCGAGGAATTTAAAACACAAGTTACTTGAATCTATACGTTATATAGCATAAAATATCCTTTTGTTTATATGAACCAGCTGAGACCAATAAGAACAGATGGCTTATGCGAGTGACTATGCCGTAAGCTAAGTATCTCAGTGTTAAATAATCCGATAATGAAGTCTAGAAGAAAAAACCATATTTTAATCCAGCACCAGTATTTGAAACCAATGTATTTCGACGAGCACGGTAGTTCAGTTTTGAGGTTAATGTACCAAAGAGAAACAAAGATGATGCTTTTGTTTGAAATAAACTAAGCAAGCGTCTTAAAGAAGCCCAGCAATGGATGGCCGGTGTAGAGAAGTTTCGCCTATGCCGGCCCTAGAGTATCGCTAGGTGTAGTTAAGCTTTATTGCCTTGAAATAGAATGGTCGATTGATGGAATCGGTATTGCTTAAAATACTGAACATTTTCAAGTATATCTTAGCGGTACATTAGTCAGCATTTGCAAGATTCTTGAGTTACAAAATTCTTTTTTTTTTTTTTTATATTTATTTTTTATTATAAACAAAAAAATTTGCTTGTTGAATATATTTGTGCTGATTTCTCTTCAAGGACCGTGTGCTGTGTCATATCTGCCTTGTGTACTTATCGAGCAGATAAAAAGAAGATTGCTTAGATCTAGATGTACTATATTAAACATTCAATTATTATTCATTTGCAAGATTTTTACATGTTTTCAAATTTGATGTCATACGTATTTCTCAATCGATGGAAACCATCACCTTGTTAACTGCGTAGAATTTAAACTTGTAGATAAATAAAATTATAAGTTGTGTTTGTTTCTCACGTAAGAAAAACATTTGCGATCCCTTATGTAAAAAACGACAGAGCCGTTAAAGTCAACTTGAGACAATTCCAAACCCATAATGTAATCCTTTTTGCGCCTGTAAGAATATATTTGTATTGCATTAATAATAAGTTTTGTGTGCTAAGCTCGAATTCAGTCATTCTGCTTGTGGGTTTAGCCCGGTTTGTGGGCCACCGGTAGCACACTAAAGACTGAAAAGATATTTAGAATCACAGTTACTTCATCTTATTCTAACGACTATACCACTGTTAAGCTCGACTGACACCCAAAAGGTTTAGCTAGTTGATTGTACATTTTTTTCCCTAAAATATAGTTGAAATACCGTATAACAATAAACATTTCATGAGCTACATTGAAACGTCGACGGCACCTCTTATAAAGTCCACTATTTAAAAGTACTAAACAGAATACCTCTGGAGCAGCTATTATAAATAACGAATATGTCTCTAAGCAAAACTTTTGGGAAACTTCAACACATCTTTTCGTCAGTGTACGTATGACAGGCGAGCATAATCGGTCAAATGATCTGTTTTCGGCCAAGTGATCTTGCGCTTGGCTAATTGATTTTCTTTGTAAAAAAAGTTGTCAATCGAAGACATTTTTGAAGAAGACCTGACAGGTTTGGTTGTACCTTATGTATATCGACTGAACCTCAAGATCTTTAAGATATAACATTCGTTTCTATGGCAAAGATGTTCTGCGTTCTAAGTCTGCTCCACGACCTGTCAGAGCTCGCTGTAGTTATACAACATAACCAACAAATATTGACTCTTTTAATGCTTCATCTGAAACTGTAAATTCCATAAATATTTTCCAAAATCTTTATTTATGTATATGTGATACTAAACTTGTGTTTGGCCATTAACCGACATGTTGACGTTATGAGGGGAATATAATCAGGTTCTAGAACTTTGTTAAAATTATTTCCATGTTGACTTAGTGCGAGGATCTTATTTTTCGCGCAACGCGACCCCTGAGTGAGTGGATTGCGGAGGTCGGTCGGTAACTCATTAGGTTTTACCACCTGCCGGTAACGAAGGCACTGAGGCACGCAAAGCAAGCCAGAGTTTTGTCAGCAAAAGCGTAGACCGGCTCCCGCTGATATCAACACAAATTTAATTCTTTAAAGGATTCCATGGTTCAGTTGCCATGGTTTGTCATTGCAGGATATCTTGTTGACTCGTTTAATGCTCCACTGTAGCTGCATGGGTGAAAAGAGCGTTTACAAAAATAAGGAATAGGATAGCATCTTTTGCAAGCTGTTGAAAAAGGACATATATAAAACATTTCAATTGTTTCTGTTAGGGGCCGGTTTGACGACCAGTTTCATCAAGCAATAGCAATTCTATGGTAAAGTAGTCTATAATCTATCACTAATTTAGTAGTTTAATATATTCTGACACTCTGTCTATTCTTTTCCCTTTTTACTATTTGGCTGATTACATTAATCGAAATGTTTGTGCACCTGTTAAATCTGTTCTCCAATCCCAGTCCCGTCATGGGTCAGAATTACCTCAGTCGGATAAACCCCATTCCATCGCCCTAACGATACATAACTAAGTATCAAAAGCTGTTACAACAATACGCTCATTGCCACTTCTTCCCATCATTCTCAACAACCGCCGTTGAAAAAGCTCGGTGCAGTTATACTGCTAACGGATAGCTATGTGAGTATCTCTTTATAGCTCTGCTTCTTCATACTTTCCTCTTGATGACTACTCTATCGCGAAAAGACCTCCATACGTTGATGCTCTTCGGGTGCTTCTCCCAGCCGCTGGGACCCGCCGTTTATGTGAAGGTCCTGGGATGCTAACGCCAGGACAGATCGATCGTTCGCAGATGCACAAGCTGCTGTACATTTGACATTCTGCCTTCGACGACATCCTTCGGCACAATCTAGTTTCTCCACTACTATGTACCCTATTCTCTTAACAGGAACTCGCGTTTAAAGTATGCCGACTATAAAGCAGGTAAATGTGATGAAAAGACAAAATCGTAGCGCGGTTTGTAACGGTGAAGGGGCTGAATAATAAAGATAATGCTACGCGTCATATAGGAAACGGTTCTCAGTTGTAAAAAAAAGGGTCTGACGATGAAACAGTACAGGTCATAGATTCAGCTGATTTACAGCTGTATGAGACAGGGTACATAATGCTAAAACGGACTGATTGTCGTGACGTTTAACAGCTTAGCTTCCTATTGTTTCAGAGATTAAATTGCGACTTTGACCGCAAATATAGCACCATTTGATGGTAATGCTACTCGCATTGATAATATTAATACACAGGCCTTGCTCTAAAAAATTATTAGGCCAACGTGTCAGCTGAGGCAATACGTACTTTTTCACTGGTTAACAGCATTGGCCTAGTTGAGTTCTAAAAACGTCCGATTTCAAAGAGGGTCGGCACCGGACCCACGAGCACACAGTTGCAGCTTGTACACTCGTAGTTTATTCTTCTGTACAATGTAATCACGCAACTGTGCAAGATGAGCCTGGCACTGGTACGCTATAACGGCGTTCGGTCCTACACAGCGTGGTAGCGCGTGCCCTGCATACCACAGCCCACGTAATCGTGCAGTGGAAACTTGTTCGCGTACTAAATTTACATCCAAGGACATCTAAAGAAGTATTCCACATTGAAATCGAACGTAAATACGCAAAAAGGTACGATCTCCAAGCAAGCTGGCACCGATACTAAGAGGTAGGACACTCTTGCAGTGTCTTTAGTCGTTCTTAAGTATGCTAATACATTCTACCCTAGAAGAGAATTGGTCTGATATTGGTACGGTCTTGTTTTTCTTAAATTTAAAATTCAATGTAAATAGTACTTGACTTTCATTGATTTTGTCGCAAAAACTACTGGCTCTTTTCAAAAAGAACAGATAACCAATGTACGTCGTGAGATTACCGGTTCAGGAGAGAACTCAGTCCATTTATCGTTTTTACTTACAATCACGTAACACTCGACAACAAAAGGAACAGAGCAAACGCCTTCATAGAGATTGTTCCTATACAAACAAAAAGAGATCGCGTGGCTACGAGGCCTGACGCGTTCAGCTTTCTTGGCAGTAGTGTCCAAGAAAACTCCAAAGTCGGGAGCGGTTGGACACTCCAGGGAAACGACCGGCCAACAAAAACATCTACCAGCGAATTGAATAAAGTAGAACTAGTTCGAAACTCCACTAACTTACCAAAGTCAATTGAGAAATAAGGCCGAGAATATGCTTCCTGCTTCATCTGGACATCTTCACTGAATTCATACAAATAAAAGCTTTATATGATACTGTAGTATTTACGGTCACTACGATACGATTCAACAACATCATTAATCCGTTTGAACCAGTCTGATCTTAGTTCCTCAATGCGCCGCCAAAAAAGCTGTCGTCACCATTTCCCAATGAGAGGGCAGTCAGTTAATAACGAAGCCTTGTTTCGTTAATAAGACCAGCGTCATGTTTGGCACTTACCCTGCTGATAAACATCAACAACAAAAACTGTGCGAACGTTAAACTAAGTAGCGGAAAGCTTTTAGGTTAGAAATAAAGTTCCCGAACTTCTCTTTGAATAGAAAATACTGCAGTTTTTATTTCTGTGATATTAAGTTATAATGATATGTCTCTTCCGTCATGCTTCGTTTTTCCACCAAATAGTGTATGCCATTTCGCCAGCGGGTAGCGGCTTTCGTCTCAAAGAAGGTTCTCGACTACGTTTTGTTCATCCGTGTCGAAGCCAAGGCCACGAACGTGACTGCCGAAAGAACGGAAGGGTGCAACTCCATTGACAAAAAGATCCGGAGAAGATAAAAAGTGCAACTGAATTTCTTATTCAAAATCCAGAAGTGTGCCTTGTGTACTTACCATGTGTGGTTTCATGCTGCCATGGAGCTGGCTGAGATGACGTCACTTGTCGAGTACTTCCTCCTGAGTAGTCCGCTGAACTCGATGCAACTTGGTCAAATAAATGTGCCCATCAATTGGTGAATCACGCCCTCGTGGTTCCGCCGTTACAGCGTGAAGTCTTAGTCCCTTGTTGGAGTCAAACAGTTTATGAAGTACATAAACTCCGAATTTTTCCGTAAAGTCAAAGGATTTGAAATGATCGACGGTGGTCGTATGTTCACAGCCAGTCTTTTCCGCCAGTTCCTGAGTTTTTTATCGGCGGTCTTTCTTCAGACGGTTCTAACTAAACTCAGACGGTTGGAGAGGGTGGAAGATCTTTTCGGTAGTGTGTGGCGAATCTATTTCTTCCACACGGAATATCAGTTTCCGAGAATTTTTTTTAAATGAAATTCCACTAGCAACACAACACCTAAAAGCGCTCTTGAACGGTATATCGGAAGTAAATATTACGGAAACGTAAAGGAAACAGTTTTTCTTTTTAGAAGCGCGGAACCTTTTTTCAACCCGCTGCATCACATTCTCTAAGTAGAAAACTAAAGGATTTAAGAAGCTATTAATTGTGTCCCTAATAAATAAGCTTTTGCAAAGAGGCGGTACTTCTATGTTTCAATTGAAGCTACTTGATTATTTACTGTAAGTATCTTTCGCGCTAAATAATATGAAGTTGTCAATTTAACTTAAAATCGAGATCACAAATGCGCTTCTACAGTCTGGAGCTTGCGTCAGAAACAGCATTTGAACACGGCCAATCTACGTGGTTTGATTGGGCGTTCACCTTTGAAGACCGATCAGGTTGGATCCGAAATCCACGTGACAAATGCATGCGAAGCTGTTGCGTTTTCTTTTTAGTTTTATAAGCCTTTTCTTCATCGTTATTCGCCTGGAGAATCCGGCGTAAAAACATTAGAATGCAAACAGGATCGCGGGTCATAGCTAGGGTCATTTTCGCTTGGGCCCAGTCGTAAGGTGGCCTTAGTTACCTTTTAGATGATTGGTCGTAGCGCAAAACTATGCGATTCTCCAGCCACAGAAGTGAAGCAGAAACTAGAAGTAGAAATAACGTGTACACAAGCTTAAAAGATGGTATCCTACAGGGCGATTCCGCGAAATGGTTATAGTCGAAAAACCCGTCATCATATGGCGTTTCCGCCCCGATGAACAATAGCCACCGCCGCGGCAGCTTCACTTAGCGCAACCATCGGACGTGCAATGAGAAAAACGTGAACGAGTAGCCATACTCAATATAGATTATCCTTTTCTTGCAGCTCTGCTCGATACCTGAACAGGTAGGTAACCACACAGGTCTCATCTGTTTTTAGGCTGTCGTCCTTTCAACACCTGTAAATAGGTTCGTGCCATTTTTAATCAGTGCAGCCAACACCATGGTATGCCCGACACGGAATCTAGATTTACGACACTACTGATTTGTTCGCCAATTGGCTAATAGGGACGCGAATGTGGAAGTTACGATCGCAGTTATCGTTATTGCCGAGCATATATAATATTATATAGATAGGCAGCAGAGCTGGCCGGCCAGATAACATGGTCTCCTATATTAACCCGAAAGCTTGATTCATTATGGATTCACCCTCGTTTCAGTAGCGACAAGGGCGGAACTGTTTGGGAAAAAGCCGTGAAGTGCCTGATAAGTGAAAAGCTAAGAAGGTCCCGTTAGACTCAGTCTCTGCATTTCATTTTAGAACGCTGACATATACAAGTACTCGCAGAATTCATAGATATGTATACACACTGTAGCTATGTACTGCAGTAACTTAATAATAAGCGTTTACCACTCTACTTTTTTGGCTGAGCGAGGTTTGTTTCAGCATGATTTTCATCTCACACCACGATTTCTGTCTTCCCTACTGCTACACGCAGTAGCCGATCCACATTGATTTTACAATCGGTAAACATTTCACTACTTTTCACATGGATGAACAATATTTTTATCCGCTCGTCGTCCTGCAGTGGCTTTTGACGAGTCCTTATTCATAGAACCTGGAACCTATTCTGCCTATGATTCACTTTATTCGCCTATTTCCCTAGCTTTTCTTAACGAGTTCCTCACAATAAGTTGTAGACTCTGTACTCGCTAGCAACCTGTGCCTTGACCCTTACTCTCATACTTACAATGCCCTCGTATTACGACATTTTCATTATTAGATGCATGCTTAGCAGATGTTCGTACGTGGGCAATACTTCGACCTATACACAATACGATTCACCTGGAGATCAATGGTCACACTTCTCTATGCAGTATAACAAGAGAGACTATCCAACTGTTCACAAAGGTATCCCAACAACGGTGTGTATCAAGTTTAGTCGACATCTTGACAATCGGGCAAAGGGCGCGAGATACGGAAAGCATCAACTGGATATTGAATAGCGTTCGCCTTAAATAAAGGGGGCGCCAGGCCTAGGGCGGATATGAGTAAGCATAGGGCAAGTTTTTATGAATATTTTGAGCTGAAGTGCGAAAAGACTACGTTGTGCAAAAATTCGATTTGCAGCTGATTTCCTTTTTATTTCACGTCGTCAATAAATCGTCAATACATTTTTTGTCTTTACCTCATATATTAGTGTTAAATTTTCGAGAACTGACCAAATGATCGTGTTATTCTTTAATTTACTACATCGGTAATTTATTATATATGACCATGTTTAGGGATTTACTGTGAGACTCGCTAAAAATTTGGTTGATTGAGAATACGGCAAGACATGTTATCATATAAATTCCAGAAGGCCTATTCTATTCTTGTGAGCACCCAGTTGGTTTTCGGCTTCTTAAATATTTATCTATGGTATAATTCTACACTTTGAAGTCATATACATGATTTACCTTATAGGAGCCTCGTTCTACGTAGCGGGGATTGCCGTCCTGTTCTTTACAAATAAGTCGCCTAACACCCATTAACAGTTCTAGTCTAAATCGTTGTGATTAAAGTTCAAAACTTCTATACAAGTTACTGAGCACGGAGCTAGTCCTTAGGACTTATCGTGCTACTAATATGGTTCGCATTTCGCTTTATCAGCTGTTGGCTCAGTCTCCTTTTCAATTATCTATCCAATTATGCACATATGTTAAAAACAAATCACTGTTTTAGTACGCAAACAATAAACGGCATTCGTGTCCACAAAATACTATATATACCCTATCGCGTGAAACGCTTACACTATAATTACGCCTAATTTATAGCCTATTCTTCCTACGTCGAACTTACTACACCTTGTAATTCTAGCACTCAGGTAATATATTGAGCTGTAACAAAAACAATCACGCCTTTTTAACGTTTTATATATATTCCTCGAAGATAATTTCTTTTTCTCTAAAGGCCAGCTGTAGTTCGTACTGCGAGGTGAGAAGAAGTTCATTTTCAGTTTAAGTTTCCGAAAGTAACTGGCGAAAAAGCCACCTGTTGTAACAAAATACGTAAGAGGTAATCTGGTCGGGGAACACATGGTATCCTTGTACTCGTGCGGCAACGGCAACGGATTACATGCCATTGGAGAAACGTTCAGACAACGCATTAGCAGTAGATGGCATTGTGTAAACGTTGATATTCAGTTTTGGGCCATTTTCGGTGCTAAGCTCACTGAGTACTGTTAAAGAACAATGAATTCAGAGACAGAGATTGATTTGGTGCTACAGATCAATATTCAGTGATAAAGCTTCTGTTTCTCGAAAGTAAAAATACCGGTTGAATCTGTGGACGTGTTGATGAAACCATTGGACAAACATCTCTTCATTGCAACCCCAGCTCGTTCCAGGTGTAATCATCAACAGCAAACTCCTTAGGCGCTGACATGTAAGGCACTTTTTCCTGGTGTCTTGACACGAGTCACAACAATGTGCCCTTGAAGAATTTAATAATTATCATATTTATATACACTTATTATGCATATAGAAAAGCCGGCTAATGTTTGCGTGGTTTAAATATATTAATTAATAAAAACTGTAAATGGTAAACAATGCGACCTTTGTTTCCAACAGGCTCTTAGTAGAAAGACTTTTAGTTTATAGAAGAAGTAGTATTATTTTCACCGTATATATCCAATTAAGTTTATGGCTTTTCGTATCAAGCCAGACATAGGGCAACGAATCATAATTAACAACTACCGTTCAGTATTTAGTGACGTGCACACAAAACCGCATGCGGTTAATAGGCTAGACAGAGTCATTCAACCTGTCACCCAGTGGCTCATATGTATTCATTAAAAATGGACCTTCTATGTGCTTCCGCTAAAGGACTTCTTGAGCCAGGCTTTGAGGATGCGACGTACAGCATCAATTACGATGTCCAAAGGGCTGGCTGACCTCTTCGAGCAGTATAAGATGCTTGACTGTATTCATTTGCTGCCCTACAAGTACGTATCCCATCCGAAAATTTATGCACACGAGACACCTAACACGCC